ATTTTTTTTTTAAATTTTATGCCTGCGCTGCACAATATTAACAAAATATTACTTCAATTTTATTTTAACAATATACATATTAAAATTTTTTTTTAATTTTGTAACTACAAATTTGTCATTTATTTTATTTAAATTTAATGTTTTTTATTATGTAAAATATATTGTTTTTCTAAATAATTAAAATATTAATAAATATTAAATTAAATAACAATATAATATAATAAAAAATGTTAATGAGTAACAGCATCTAAAGTAATAGATATTAAATATTATATTATATTATGTGATAATACAATATATAATATTACATTTATTTATTTTCTAAAAATATAATCATCTCTATATGTATTGTGATTGTTAGTTAGACAGCAATCATCGTCATCCGGTATGGTCTAGTGGCTAGGATACCTGGCTCTCACCCAGGAGGCTCGGGTTCGATTCCCGGTACCGGAAATTTTTTTTAATACTTCACGGAATTTCATGAAACTACATTGATAAATCATCTATTTAATTTTTTATCCATTATAGATTCATAAATAATTCAAATAATTTGTTTATATCTCTTAATCGCTTCTTTTGAAATTAATTATAGAAAATGAATAGAGATAAAATAACAGATTTTAAATATTTCTATTAAAAATATATTTCGTTTTTTATTAGAAATATAATTTGAAATATAGTTTTTGTATAACTTTAACAATTTAGAATTTATTATAAATGGAAAATTAAAAATGAAAGAAAGATGTGTATCAAGCAGATTGAAATTCAAAATTATTTCCGTCTTGCTTTTAATTATTTTTATTTTCATACCTTAACTTGTCCCACGCATAATGTTTTCGGGGGTTGATTGGCACGAACTACAAATTCAGGACCAACACATTGCGCCTTATTGAAACACCTGGTGGGTCCACCCACCGTTCTGTATAAGCGCGATGGTGCTCTTTGAACTGCTTTTCCTCGTCGAGCTCTTGGCCCGTTCCTCACCATGATTCTGAAAATATTTTTATACGATTTTTCTAGATGTAACAGAAAAAAAAACAAATTATCACAGCAAAATATTTTATTTATAAAAAGCAGGATTATCTATAGTAAATCAAATGTAATCGATTAACGATGAGCTGACACTAAAGAGGCCGATTTCATTTTTTCCTATCTTTCTTTCTCACATGATTAATATAGATTGAGTAAAGCGCAGTTTTTCATAAGAGACCGCGATGTATATAATTATGCAGCAAATTGAAACGTCCATAGCAAAATTTCAGACAGACATCACGTGGAACGTTATGTACAGCGATGTTAACGAACTCTCACCGAGTTTAATTAAACTTTAACTGGAAGTAAACTCCGGATGCTTTTTTAGGGCATCACTAAATGTCTCCTTGTCTTTTACTTTTCCTATCTTTCTCTTCTCTTCGTATTCTATCCTTTCTACCAAGAATTTACCATGATAAAAGGTCGCATGTTTTCCCAAAGCCAAAATTAATTTTTGTGAAGGAATGTAATGTTCATGGAAAAGAATAGCAAAGATTTGTGAAAATAATAATAAGAAATATATTTACGTTTATTTAAACTTTTGAAAATACGATGTGATTGCATTAAAAAATACATCGCTTAACATTTTACGAAATATTATTAATATCACGATTAATTGATTAAAGATTATGGGTTATATATGTTATAATATGCTATTCAAGATTAAATGTCAAAGTTGAAAATCAGTGCAGTGAATATTTTACAATGGACATTGTTTTGTAACAAAGGCAATTTTAATTTAACCACATTGACTTCGATTTATTATAATTTTTACAATAAAAGTATTAATTGTACTAATCATTTCTATTTAACTGTATATACGTGCTTTTGTTTGATTCCGTTTGAATGTCATAAAATCTAGGACTCCGTAAGTCTCATAAAAGTCAAAGGTTGTCATCGCACACCGTCCGCGTCGTGTTTTGATCTTTTCACAACTAGCGTAGATATTGAACAGTCCATCAGCATGCATTCGACTACCAGCTGTAACATGTAGCTGTTTTATGCGCTCTGAATGTACCCTGAGTTTCTCAAGTAAAAAGTAGGACATCAGCCATTATCAATAAGATAACTGTTTCATTCTATTTTATAACCCTAGCGAAAATAGAAGTTGAACTTATAAACTTGAATGTAAGGAGGAAGTAACAGAAGCGTAAATGAAGCTTCTAGGAGGCGAAAATTGACACTATGAAACGGAAAAGAAGCATTTACGCTTCTTTTACGTTATGTTGTTTCAATTTTCGCCTCCTAGAAGTTTCATTTACGCCTCTGTTACTTCCTCCTTACATTCGAGTTTATACTTCTATTTTCGCTAGGGTTACAAAATAGAATGAAACAGATATCTTATTGATAATGGCTGATGTCCTACTTTTTACATTTAACTTATGCTCCAATTTTTATTTTCGCCAACAAAGAAGATCTATCGTGATCTACGTAAAGTAAAAGTGAGAAAGAAAATAGCTATTCTACTCTGTTATCGCATGTTCCTTATTATATACGGATCAATGCAAAATCATTACTCGATATATGCTCTAATTTTACTTGGGGAACTGTAATGAACTGTTCAAAAGCACGATGCATCAGAGGAAAATTGTCTCTGACGCGTCTCTCTGTTAGAACCGTCTCTCTGTAAACCCTCGTAAGCGCTTATTAATAGGAACATGCGACTGGGAGGCAAAACTTAGTAATGCGGGTCGCGCAAGAAGATCACGAAACTATTTCATGTCTTTCACGTGTCCTTATTTGCCTCTTCATTGCCTTTAAACGCCCATTTTTGTCGTAAAATCGAACAAATGAAATTCTGCTAAAGAAAGAGTAAATTTTAAAGATGTAAATTTATGGGTTATCCGTAATCCGACATTATCGTTATATAAAATTGTGAGTTTATTTGCTTTTGTATATAAGTACGGTATATAAGTACGATGCATAATGTTATATATTGGTATCTTTTTAAGAAAGCTTTGAGACTTACGAGACTTTTCTCAAAGGGGGGATAAATAAAACGACGTTTAATTAAAGAATGAAACTATCAGAAACTCTTTTTTCTTTTTCTTTTCTTCTTACTCTAAATGAAATTGGTTATTGATTAAAATTTTATCTGCTAGCTTAAATAGTTTGTAACGATTCGAAATAGCAAATTGAATTAGGATTAAATGTTTTTTCTCTAATAATGAGTAATGCGCAATGTAATTCAATTTTCTGACGAACAATCTACTTTCTTCTGTCTTTTATTGCGATAGAAAGTTAATATATAATAGACTGTATGTGATAAACTGACGCAGATAATTGATTATAATATAAGAAATGAGAGAAATCTACCTGGGAGGCTTTGCTGGCGGTTCTGTGTGGCTATTACATTCCGAATCGGAGAGAGCGGTTTTTCTCAAGGTAGTGATAATTCGAGGTGGTTTCGGGGGTCCTTGTAGTCCTCTGAGTCTCATGGTAGTTGCTAATTTTTGCTGCCGTATCGTCTGTCCTTTTTGCGCAATGTCGACACATCTAGATTCGGTCGTTGCTACGCTCGGCTGTGACAATCGCTTAAAATCTTCGTCAGTTTGCGTTCTACTCGGCAGTTGTGGATTCGAGTGTTGCCTTTGCAAAAGCATTCTTCCCGGAGGTGTTCGTCCATATGTATCTTCGTGAAGACGTTCATTTGGTTGAGAAGTTACATCGGGTTGGGAATGACCAGTATTTGAAGGATGCCTATTTCAGAAGAGTTTTTAACGTCTCAGAATGAGAAAAGCATATTGCATAAAGTAGAACAAATTAACTTTGGCTGAGCTCGAATGAAATTATATCGCTATTTTCAATTTCTAGCTCCATTGGATCTTGACTATAAAAGTACTTTCTGTTGATAAAACAACTCTCTCTCTCTCTCTCTCTCTCTCTCTCTCTCTCTCTCTCTCTCTCTCTCTCTCTCTCTGCGCGCGCGCGTGTGTGTGGAGGAGAGAGAGAGAGAGAGAGAGAGAGAGAGAGAGAGAGAGAGAGAGAGAGAGAAATGTGTACATTACATCACATATCATATATCTCTTACCGCGCGTCAATATTGAATATCGTCTTATTGAATTCTGTTGATTCGCATAGGAATATATTTATTAAATATTATTATTTATTAAATATTACGTAATCTTTGCAGCACTCTCTGTCTTTCTCTGACTTTCCAAATTTCCAGCCGAATTTCGCTCATGCTGAACTACCCCCTTTGCCAAATCCGTGATTAAGCTATCGGCTATTGGTGTCGTTGCTATTCGCGATTTCTTCTTTACACAACATTAATTTGGTTATCCTTAATTTTGTGAAAGAGCGGCATATTCTTCCTCTAAGTTCAACTATCGTTGTTATGGACGAGTTAGAAAAATTTGAGACTGTCGGGAGTAAAATATATATTAAAAATATTCAGGATTACCGAGATATTTTCGCGTCCTGCGATCATGCAACGATCGTTGTACTTATGCAAATTTGGCTAAATACAAATCAAAATAATTGACGATATTCTTGTTTAACAAGAAGACATCGAAGTATAGAAAAGAATTACTCTATGTAGTTATCTATTTTTAGCCCAAAAGATCGTTAATACAAAAGTCACTGGCTGCGTTCAATGGAGAAAACCAATTAGTGAGCGCTCAACGATTCTTTAACATAGTTGCTTCCTACACTTATTTTTAGATCCAGCAAAGAACTAAAAGCAAAAATCAATCATATTAAAAAAATCATATTACTGAGCGCTTACTGATTGGTTTTTTCTGTTAAGCGCAGCATTGCAGTGGCATTTTTTCGAAAGAATGATTTAGCAAAAAGTTATTATATAGCGTATAATAGCCAAAGGTTTAAATATAAAGAAACTATATCATTTTTATTTTTTAATGAAATTATTTAAGACTAGAAATAATTATAATTATTTTCTTGAGTTTGGGCTGGATTTAAAGTCGTGAAAATATCTGTGTAACATTTCTGAAAACTTACTCAAAATTAATTGCTTTGTAATGAAAAATTATTATGTAGAATCTATTGACTATCTCTGTCTCTATTTTCATAATTCACGTTATGATGAAAATAAATTAAATTAAATTTGTTCATCTCAAAATCTTAATTTAACATCGTGTCTTAAACAATTATAATAAATATAGGTATAGATTGTATAATTTAATGAGAAATAAAATTACAAATAATATCGATTGGTTTTTCTAAATAAGTACGCGAATGATATCCAGTGTGTACCTGTTTATCGATGATGATCCATAAACCTCGTCTCCGTGACAGATCGCAGAAGGTTTCGCAGACAATCCATTGACTCGCACATCCTGGGAGCTCAGGAAGGGTTTAACCGGCAGGGCATATATCGGGTCGTTGTAAACATTCCCGTCGGGATTACTGTCGACCATCGCGCTCGTCGTCATCGGCAGATTGCCACTACTCCTGGTATGTTGAAGCCGCGTATAAACCGGCTGCGAGTACGTCCTCGAGTGATGATGCACCCGACGTGTCGTCGCTGGTCCTATCGATCGGCTGCCGCTTTGGATATCCAGCTGCGATTGAAAGTGCGCTCTGTAACCGCTGAGGGCAGTATCCCGATATAGCTGTTGCTGCTGCTGCTGTTGTTGCTGTTGTTGCTGCTGCTGCTGCTGTGAATCGCACAAGCTAGTCAAATTGGGATGTGACTGGGAATTGCGTGATTGTGTCCTGAAATGCGACCCTTTCGCGTGTTGATGATTGTAATGATGACTACGATGATCCTGCTGACCCTTTGGTGGCTGCTGTGGATAATCCTGTTGCTGATGAAGCGACCGAAATTGATTAACCTGACGTTGAATGTGATCGTGTTGTTGTTGCTGTCGTTGCTGAACAGCTAATTGATTCGACAAATATTGCCCAACACGAGTCTGATGTTGAATAGATGGCGGTTGACCATTCACAACTTGGACGTAGTCTTGTTGCTGTTGTTGTGGATGATGATGATGCCCGTAGATTTTCTGTTGGTTCAATTTTTCAACCATGTTCCGTGTAGGACACAGGGCATTCAGCTGCATTGCTCGTTTCCGCGCGGCGTATTGCGGCGATCTCACAACCTCTCGATACATCTCCATCACTATGTGAGTGAAGGGCCTTGCTTGTAGACGTGTCCGACAATATTCGGATATTACCTGCGAAGTAAGAACATGATATTGCAGTATTGTTAAGTCTATTAATGGCGTGGATGGCTTTTATTTATTAAGTCTAATATAACAAGAAATAATCCGCGATAGAAATGAAAATTGTGTGAGAGAGAAGGAAAGAGAGAAAAGAGAGTTGTAATCCAATATATGATTAATATTATAAAAAACATAATCTTCTTTAATTAGGGAGATTTCTGAAAAATGCAAAATTAAAGATGTGTAATACGCAAACATTTTTATGTCAATGATTAGCATAATTAGGATTGTCTTGTGACGTTAAATTTAGAATAATTAGCGTAATATATATATATACATATATATCAGATAAACGTCCATGCAAATCTGAAAGTTTGCAGTAATCATCGCAGACATAATGTGATCGTGCAGATGCGTTTATCGTGCTACCCAGCGCGCCGATTATCTAGTTTCGAAACTTTCGCGTCGCGCAGTAGACGAACTATTAGCTTAAGAAGACAATAGTTGTTGTCGTAATTCTATAGATTCTGCTAAGCTAAGATCCTGAAGGAGAAGTGCTAATATCTATTAACGCGTCATTGTGTCCCCTACGACGATTAATACAAACATATATCAAAGATTTTAAGTATTATCTAAGATATTCTTTTCTCAAAAAGATTTCATGATGAAATTACTATTGTTGAAAACGTTATCTGTGTACTATTAATTAGAAAGTTGCTTTTTATTCATCGTGATGCTAGCTTTCAGTTTTGTTACTCAAAATCAGTTAGAGTTCTAATCAGTTGGGATAGTTCTAATGAGTTTCAATTGGGTGATATACGCGTTCGTAGTTTTTCATTGTTCAAGTGTTTCTTCTTACGTTTTTATTGCAGAATAGATAAAAATTTTAATAAATTTATGAGAATTGATTTATGAGAAGAATTGAGAAGAATTTTAATAAATGAGAATGAAGACTTTTAATAAGTTTAAAAAATAATAAAGAAATTACTTCTACACATTGTTTAATAAATGAGATGTCAGTTTTTTTAATATGAAATGTAATGTTGAATAATGAATTGATGATAAAAATTTTTAGTTAAGAATGGAATTCAGACAAATATATTAATCAGTCAGAAAATTTAATGTGGAAATATTCTGAAATTAATAAATAGGATTAAGATGACCTCTCATTCAACTACAATAGAAAATTTTTTACTGAAGACAGTGGACAGAGACCTGAAATGATATGCCGTTTCATTACACTGGGGCATTAAAAAATAAGCGATGTGTGGAAAAACTAATAATAGACGTGTAAATCATATTATTTTTAACAAATAACGGCAAATAATTAACAATTAACCACTGGCTATCAATTCGTTGGCATCCACCGTCTTCTGCGAAGTCAGATAGGCACTCGTCTTAACCTCGGTGTGTTCAGCCACAAACTTGCTTTATCCGCGCGGATAGATACAAGCCAAGCAAAATAGGTACTCGAGCGGATAATTTATTGACCGCTCCGAGAATTCCTCGTAGAAACTACGGTTCCGCATAGAAACTACTCCGCATGCCGTGTGCTCTCGTCTTTCCGCTTCCCCGCCGATTGATTTCATCAATTTCGGGGGTTATCGGGGGTGCACCTGCAAAATTATCGCAGTCCGAGATGGACGACTTATTACAGTCGCCTCGTCCTTCGCGCGCGATAACAGTCGCCGCGTTTTTGAGATTGCTGCCCGTTAATCATCAAGCTCGGTGAAATTATCGTAGGTATATGTAGTGCCCACCACCCTCGTATGCAATTTCGCGTTCCAGACCGCCTCGTGCCGTTCGAGGCACGTTAAGCCCTTGAAAGATCCACAGGATGTATGCGAACTGGTTTACGAATTTATTTCTTGTAATGTCTCAGTCGTCTAATTATGTGTCCCCTTCTTGCATAAAATAATCTCTTAAGAACGAGATTTGAGTCCACTATTTGGCTTTCACAAATTTATCTAGCTTCATTACACAATGGGCCTCGTTTTATCTTCGTTTTAATTCGATATACTGTCATATTTAGCCGTTATAAAATCTGAGCGTATATTTTTTAATTAATTTCTGATATCGATGTGTTAAAAGTCGAACAATATTACGGTCATTCTCGCACGAAAATTCTTTTATTTAAAAATTAAAGAGAATTAATGAGAATTTTTTTTTCTTTCTTATCCCATTTCCTTATTTTTTTCTATAAAAAAGTAAGGAAAAAAAGAAATTGGTTTTTTTTTCTTTTATCTCAGGTTTATACGTGTTCCAAGATTATAATAACTGAAAAATTTCGAAAGGATCGCGATACGTTTGCATGTTTGTGCGAAAATATGTGACGCGCTGTGTTCTCGTGATGTTGCAACGTGCAACCGCATCCTCTATCATACTATCTGTTCGCCCTAATATTTACACGTGGGAGAAATCTGCATCGCCCGTCTGTTTGCTGTCTGATCAAAATAATTTCATATGCGGGGGTGTCGCGCGAGTCCATCGCCCACGATTAAATTTCATCTTGCCATTTGCATCTGTATAATGTCGTTGAAAATCCGATGAATAGGTAGAAATCGCCCGTATGCATTATTTCCCCTCGTTAAATCCTCTCGGCGTTAATAACAAAACTGCGTAATGGAAAATTTTTATGTCGACATCGCACCTGGAAAATACATTTTAATTTTAAATGTGAGTAAGAGAAACGAGAGTTGCAATTAATATTAATCTTATTTTGTTTATTACATGGGTAGACTAATACCGACAGTCAGCAGAAATTAATTCGATGCAATATATTGCACCTATAATAACGTATTTATATTCTACACACAATCCCCCGCATTATATACAAAATTTATTTACTTAAATAATTAAATTATAATAAACACATAATCAACATGCGTTTGAAATACCATTAGATTATAAATTAATATTGTAAAGAGATAAGTATATATATTTTTATTTTAATATTATAAAGAGATATATGTATGGTACATATTTTTTTGTAGAAATGCCATACATGGAGCGTGCAATTGTATTATAAATTAAATGACACATTTTTTACAACAATGTAAAGTATTTTCCATCACATACATCATTTTCATTATCTTTTCTACGTGACATGCTTCGAATGTGTTGTACCACAACTCATCGATCTATTATATGCGGTTGGCAATTGTTGGAGCGAAATCCATTCAATCAATTGGCTTTCAGTTTGTATTAAGACTTACATATTATATGTATATATAATAAAAAATGTATCATAAGGAAAAAACATAGCATGTTTCAAAATATCTTATTATTATATATACATGTACATATATATATATATATATATATATATATATATATATATCAATATATTTTATATATACATATGTACGTGTGTGTATAATAATAAGATATTTTGAAACATGCTGTTCTATATTTTTTCCTTGTGCTACATTTTTTTTCAAATTAAGAATTTCTTATTCCTTGAAAGGAAGAGAACGTAATGTAATTTAATTAAACTCAATTTACACAACTTTTTAATTGACGGCATTAAGTATCTTGAAGGAGTCTTAAACTAATATTTTATTAAAACAAAGTTTCAAATAATATTAAACTTGCAACAGTTATAATTGAGCTACTACCTATTATAAATTGAGCACACGTTAATTATCTCAGCGTAATCTCGATACATAGTTATGAACATTTCTCTTTTGCTTCGTATAGTTAATTAAATTTCGCAATGTGATATTCAATCAGATACTAAATATTTTTTCTGACTCGCTCATTCTTCGGGTTTCACTTAGAGACACGTATATTCATTATTGCAATGCGACATCTCATGTCACTATTCCTTGTCACGCAAATCATCGCTGCCTGCTTGTACCTCGGATGTCGTCTCGACGTACAAATGCTGCACGTGCAGCCTGCTTGCTCTGTCCGTGATAGGTGATTCAATTAAAGCAAGCTTTCATGCAAGCCGACGCCGGATACTCAAGGGCGGCATGGTGTCGTGTGGCTATGATTAAGTCTATGTGGTTTATCGATTAATCCCATATGAACATTATCAAAGTTAGACATAAGCTAAGTATAACTAAATTCTCTTTTTAATAAACTTATCACGAAAAAATTCGTAATAAAATTGATTATTCAATTCGATTTTTTTATCGAATTGAATTTCTAACAATTCATTAGACAATAAAGAAAACATATTTACGCGATAACTTTGCTGTTTAAATGGAAAATACGTGCAGTGCTCAATACATTATTTTTTATATTTCTAACGATGATATTACTTATTGTTATACAATCTGTTCTTTGTTTTCTGTGAATCGTAATTTAGATGATCATATTATAAAACGGAAGCCATGAGAAAAATGCATAGGAATGAAACATTATTCCTGTGCATTTTTCTCATGATTTCTGTTGCAAGAGTCAGGTTATATTTTACGTAGAACACTAACTCTTGTAATTATGATCTACATAATAGATGCATGGTCTATGCAGATACATGGACTCTACACATGTAGACTAGATACGCATACGCGTTTGCTATATCATCTAGTCCGCGCAGTTACAAGCTAAGGATCAAGTTTCTCTGATACGTTGCATCTCTCGAAATTTCATCGTCACGTAATGTCGCGTGTTATTAGCGACAAATTGCTTTATTATTCTCATCATAGAGACGACCTGGCCTTTCTTGATACGCGCTATGCATTCCTCATATGTTTGTACTTAATTCCAGTCCGACGTAGCTCCTCATACAAATATATTCGCGACGTCGAATTACTCACCATTCGTACTCGTGATATGGAAATTAATTTTGTTACAGCAATATTGCTTGGGATTAAGTATTGTTAATTCGCGGATTATCAAAATTCAAGTTGCGGTGAAACACGTTGAATGTACTTGTGATTTTCCTAGTCATAGTTGTCTACAATGACAATTTCTTTGATGTGTAGTCATTAATTCTTAAATGTCATATTGGAACAATACACTGTTGTATGGCATATACAATCCAATTCGATTTGTAACATAAAAATGTATATTGTAAAAACATTTTTCAAATCAAAACGCCAGACATTTTTTGAAAAACGTTAGCGATATTAAGCAAATATATGTATTTTCATTAATAAAATAGCAATAGAAAAAGTATTGGAAAAAACCGGGTGTACCATATCAAAAAAGTGTTTAAAGGTTAAAATATTTAATTTAATATAGAATCATACATCGATTATTTAAAGTATGTTATTATATTATTTTTGGAATGTATTTTCTGCGATTAAGATACCATAATTATAATACCTGATTTTATCATGAAATAAAATATATCTAAAAAAAATAACAGGATATATCATATAAATCGTAAATATAATGTAAACAAGAAAGATTAAAATATATTAGGTGTTGGAATTAATTCGTAGCGTTTTAATATCGTTTGCATCAATGATAAACATATGTTTATCTGTCTACAGACATATCGGACAACTACTAATTAAATGATGAAACTTGAAACGAAAACTGTTTTGCGATAGATATGGATACGTATGGAAAATGATGCGTTGTTACAGAGCGCAGGGTGAAATATCGAACGTTGAAGAGTCACTTTAAACGATACTGGCTGATTTATTTCGAATCGTCGATAGTGCGCATACAATGAACTTTGGAATTTTGAGCTATCTGCCCGTACCTCGCGGCAAAATCGGCAAAAAAGTCTCGGCCTTTTATTAGCAGATTGTACGCTTCGCACAATGTTCGCCAGTTATGTAACGCGAAGCTTATATGTGTGCGCATGAGTGTTGTCCTGATGAATGCGACGGTCTTTTGAAAAGTACGAGAAAAACGCATTGAATAAATATATTTATACATATTATTGATAAATCTTGAGAAGATTGATGGAAATTGATGGAAATACAACGAGGAAAAGAGACTTTTAGGATAGAGGAAATTCTGGAAGAATTTCATTAAAACTTAAGAACTTACGTCGAGTAAATTCATCAAGGAGGCACGTCTACGAGGATCAGGCTCCGTCATGGCAGCCAACACTGATTGTAAAGCGGAAGAGGGTGAAACGGAAACGGTCCCCGTTAACGCCGTTGCTCTGGGAGTCGTGTCCAATAATGCCCTGCCTAAAGAATACATCCACATCTGAAATCCAAATGAGATTAATCTTTATTAAACACATTAAACATTAAATGTGATTAATTATAAAAGTACATTAAACGTTTATTTAAAAATGCAATAATAGCATTAAATAATATGCAACTGTATTTAGGATTTTCATTACATTATAAGCTATTTACAAATTCTCTTTTGTCCCACGTTTACCATAACACTTAATGGTATAAATTTTTGATATTATTTCAAGATGAAAATCTTAATGCTAAAATGTAATTATAATAGTTTTTAAATGAAAAGAACTTAAAATTGACTGATCACTATCCTGAATTCGCGCGCTTAGATATAGCACAGTGAAGGTGTTTTTAAACAAGAATTTCATTTTTTATATTAATATAATTTTGCATACCTTTCATTATTACGCGATGTGCCATACCTGAACGCACGAATTCTGGACAGTTTAATTAGTCAAACTTTTCTCATTTAAAAACTATTGCAACCTCGACATTTTAATGTTAGAATTTTCGTTTCAAAATGCTCTCAGAAATTTATTAACTGATGTTATGATAAATCTGGACGTCCTGTATAATTAGCAATTTTAAATATTATACTTAGACATGTTCCTACTAAATTTTAAACTTGCTATAAATTTTTTATTATTAAGCGCGTACGAAAGATTATATCATTTAATTTATAATAAAAAGAATAACTAGTTAGGCATATAAAAAGAAATATTATTTCTGTTAAGTTTACGAAATTTTGAAATGTTTCTCATTCTGAATGATGTTTAGCATTAGATTGAAATAAAAAAGTTATCTAAAGAAGAGCTGCAATACTTTCAGGAATAACTTTTGTATCAGGTAAACTGTTGAAGTATACATCAATCTTGAAAGCTGAGTGTCTGTTTCTATCTAAAGCGGATGCAATAATCGGATTTTTCTTATTTCCGCCAGAGAACATGTACACACATACGCATTGAAACATCTAGAAGGATTTTGTAGATTCGAGAAAGTATTAGTTATCGATTTTATTTGTACATTTTTATTTGTTGAAAAAACAATGTTGTCCGATACTTTCATCGATAGTAGTAGAAAATATCGACTATGTAGACTTCGTATCTTCGATGCTTGAAAAATAAGCATCGATATTATTCGATACTTTCCATTGAATGCTTGAAAAAAATAATAAACAGCATAGTTGATATAAATAATTCCTTATCACGTGACATTTTTCTCTCAGTTTTTTAATTACTTTTTGCTGATGTATTTTATTTTATTTAGCAGCGCAAGGTTATTTGTCAGTATTTATAATTAAACGCCGGAAAAGCAAGATCTTTATGAACTCTTTTATGAATTTCTACATTGACTTCGTGTTCTTTCTCATTTATTTACACAGAAGGGAAGCAAAGATGCACCTGTGCGCTACTCTCACCATGTCACAGAGATCATTCTAACAGCTCGCTTGTGCATTGTGTCACGCGGTGAAAAATGTAAGAGCGACAATCGCCGGAAAGTCGAGTGCTTTTTCGTGCTGGCTTTATGTCGTCCAGGTAATCGTCGTTGTGTACCATGATGCTGCAGCCACCACTGGTGGGAGTTTCATGCTTTCCGGAAAAGTAGAATCGTGACGTGAATGTCAAGGTACATAGAACTTTGTTATCAGTGATGAATTTAGAATGTTTCAGATCAAAAGTATAACTCAAGCAAAAAATATTTTTAGAGGTTAATTCTTCGACAAATTTTGATTGAAATATTTTTTTGACACTTGATGCATGTTGATGGAAGATAAATAGTTACACAAAACGTGAGAATATATATGTTTAATATATATGTTTAATTCCATGCAACTAAATTATGTAATATAATTATCTTTAATTATGATTCTAAGTATTTTATTATTTTATATTGCAAAGTGTAAACTGTAAAATATCGATTTCTTTCAAGTACATGACTTCAAATGCATAATTTTAAATTGTAGAAGTGAAACAGATTACAGAAAAGTTTTAATGAATCACTATTACCTTTTTCTATATAATATTAAAAAAAAAATAGATTGTAAAAAACCGACTCTTTCGTACTTTCTTATTACGACTCTTTCGTACTTTCTCATTACGATTGTCACGAACAAAACGGTTGTCTCTACTAAATTAATAAAGTGATAATTATTTCTGACGTAGGAGTAAAAATTATCATACTTTTTGCTACGTGCAGTGAAGCAATTTTCTTCCTTCGTTAAAATCCTGTTGCTACAAATCGAAATTTATTTTTTGATACGTTTCAAAGTATCGATGGAAATGCATCAGTACTTTATTTGATTGAAACTGAATATTGCATCTTGATGCTGGTTTACGTGACAGAGAGAAAACAGATTGAAATATTATGTTCTAACGAGTTTTATTGAAAGAACTCTGTATTTTGCATTTAATCGATATCGCGCTTTCGAGATAATTAATATTGGTCCGTATCATAATTTCGCATGGAAGGAGAAATATTCATTGTTTAACTTCTAGAATATTTTCTTACTTTTACTTTCAAATCATGGATTTTAGTTTTAGAGTAATAAAATATAAAACGCGAAAGTTAACAATTCTTTCAGAATGTTGAATTGCTTCTCTTCGCTTTTAGTTTTGTTCACATTATTTATATATCTTCCATCAATAAACTATCATGCTATTTCTTTTTGGACATCGATAAATGTATACCCTGGTGTGTTTATAAAATGGAAGTTATCTAAGTTTTTCACGACTTTTTACGACGGATATTTCAAACTATAGAATATTGAATCGTAAAAGCATATTTCCTATCTTTTGTTCTTTTCTCACTGGTTTTATTCCGTCATATAATCCTGTATAAACATTATATTTACTATCATAAACATCACGAGTTTTATTTCTAATTCAATAGTTACATTTTTCGCGTAAATAACATATAAACGCGTCTTTTTGCGTGTTTAACGAGCGATACGAATGCAGCAGAATAATCAAGATTACGTGCTTTCCGTGAGGTCTTATCTCTCCGTTAGAAGCGAGAGTGAGATAGAGGCTTCGGAATTGATGATATAAAAGAACGATACGCCAAAGTTTATTTATCGTACGCGTCGTTTGTTCTTCCTTTAATCTGCAGGAGATAAACACTGGTCTGTGCGCGCAGAAACAACGGGACTTCGTTCGATTGTCAACGAGAAGAAAGGATAGCGTTAAAGGGATCGAAAGGGAGCGAAAGGGATCACCAGTAGGGGGAGAGGGGGGGGTGGAGGATGAACAAGAGAGCGAGAAAATCCGACAAACGTGCTGGAAAAAAATTCGAGAGAGACCATAGAATGGGCGCTAGGATTTTTAGGGCTAAAGGTACACAAAAATCGGCTTCAGTCTCTGTTGCATCTCTCTTCTTCGAGTTCTTCAAACGGTTAGCGCGAGGCGGTGGTGGATTCGTTAAAAATTCACCCTGCACTGAAACGCGGAAGTCGAGCAAAATAAAAAATCGTCGAGCCGTCAAAGGACGGCTACGGCGGCCTAATCCTCTTCATGCTGAAAGGATTTTAATAGGACGCGTTAATTCTCCATGCACGATATTCTTTTAATTATGCCATCGGCTTCGCTCTTTCGTAAATACTATCATAATTTACGCGTATGCATAATTGAATGATTGGAGAAATGGAGATGTTCCTAATAAACATATTTTATTTATTACGCCGTTTCTTGATCCTCGTCTTGTTTCACAACGCGCAATCACTCGACTCTGTTTTAAATGTTTACTTTTGCCAGCATAATATCGTATTATACGATTGAACATTCGGAAACTCGTTCAAACATTTCGTAAAGGGCAATAATAAGGCTTCGTAAGTAAGATCGATCAAAAAGAGAAAGAATTTGTGGAAGATGCGAAGGAAATTAATCTCGAAATACGCTGTTAAAAATGTAAGTTGCAATTACGTAATAGAGAAGCAGGTGTGTACCAAACATATGGGAATACCCATTTTAAAGTCTTTCGAGTGACGGACGTCGTGATCGGTCAGAGTGCAATCCGTTATTGGATTAATGGCGCGTCATTAAGTACCGTGCTGAATATGACGTACTTTTTCCGAATCCGTGTCCGAATATACGCGGCCGGGTCGATACTCTGGTGGCAGGTACGCTCGAGCAGTTTCCGGCGGTGCGAGCTGCAGCAAAACCCTACCACGTAGTGTCAGTTCCAGCGTATGTGGAGTCACCACTGGTCCTGCTCTCGAACCACCCACCACACCTCCATCTAAAACAAATATTAATGAAAAATGTAAGATTGTCGTCAGAACCACAAATTTACTTCTACTTCGTATATCTATTTTGTACATCGTAGCAAAAAAGTTTTTTTAAGTTTTTTAAAGATATTTTTAGACGTAAAAAGATCGCTAAAAGATTATTTCATCTAAATTATCATATCTACTTTGGTAATTATAAGTAATTTGTATACAGTAAACGTACTTGATTGAACCTATTATTTTAATGTAGTTTTATTTAATAAATTCTTTCGAAAAGGCATTAGTTACGTTCGAATATAAAATTGTAAATATATGTATATTCATTTTTATTATTTAAAAGCTGCTTTTAAAAATATGAAAATTTAATTTTATATGAAAAAATCTTTAAACGATATGGCATAAAAAAACGAAATTTGTCAGATTTTGTGCAACAGTAGTTTTTAGTAAAAAATTCTCTTCATCTGTTTTAATCATATGAGGTATATATAATATAATTATAGAAATATTTTTCTTCTTTAGAACATCATGCCAATCTGGCATGCTTTCACTGACATGACTTTGTGTTATGTAATTATGACTTGTCGCTAGAAGCAAACTGATTAAGCAATTTGGCAACGCGCCCAAACTATTTACGAAGTGAGATTAGGGTTATAATTAATTCTTTGATTTAATAGTTATAGCCTGCGGAGCGGCTGACAGGCGGAAGTTGGTCGCAGATGCGCACGTGAGGACTCTCACTCGACAAGGGGATTTTCCGGAAATTGCTCGATTTATTTACTGCGATCGAGTGCCCTCGAATCATTTATTATTATTTTTTTTACATGTATTGCATGCTTTCAACGTTCGCTATCTCCTCTTCAACGTTCGCTAGCCGTTTTCCTGAAATTCTATGCTAAATAATTATGCTAAGCGCTCGAAACATAATTGAAAGGAAATTACATCGAGGTAGGGCACGATTGCGTAATCTCGTAATCGTATTTTCATCGATCGTGTCGATCTGCGCCTCCAATTGCTGCAATATTCGTTGATTTCTCTAACATCTGTACAAAATGATGGAAATCAAGTTTTACAGCAATTTTTGAACTCTCCATCTCTGAATGAATACGTAGGTACCTATATATATTCTAGACAGTAAAAATTTTTATATTTTTGTTATGACGCCTCAAAACGCTCCACTTTTTGAACAATAAAGAATAGTTTTACATAAATTTTGTCTCACAGTTTACACTTTTACAGTTTTAGTGGGATCCTTGTGAAACACAGCAGTGAAAAGATGAAAAATTATGCATTGACAGAAGGATTAAACGTATAATTAGTAGAACTTTTAAGTATTATTTTGTGTATTATGTAAGTATTTTGTAAAAACATCAGTATTATTTCATTCTAGTGCCTTCATAACGTCACATTTTTCATAGTAACGTTACTTTGTAATAGCAAACAGTCTGGCCTGACTTCCATTGTACCACTACCGTTATAAATCCTGCATAATTCGCCATTGGGGTGCTAATTCTGCGCGTGTCACGGACATTAACAGCCTAATGGTGGGCTAAAGCGCCTTGACACGGAGAATATTCTCCCGCGAGTACTCTCTGGTAATTTACGTAAGCGCTCCGACCGACAAATTCTTCCCCTTCTGCCACGTTCCTGCAAAGGCACCAAGGAAATTAGTGAAGACTGCCAGAATCGATACACTAAACGTTTAATACTGAGCATACTCGATTAACTTGAATTAACGTGCGTGCAGACGCTTGAATCATTTTCACATTCTGTTTTAATTAAAAGGTCTATGTAAAATGTATGTGTGTTTAAACTGACACAAGTTACTATATAACATTGTGACTTTTTCGTATTGCCGTCCATAAGATGGTCTTTTTATTGAAAGTTTTTCGTTCAACGATACGGCAGGCGATTTCTAATTTCGCCAGTAGTCAATCTCCGTGAACGATCGGACAGGTCTCCGTGTAAATTAGAAAGCAGAGACACATCGGACGGGACGCTACAAGCGATAAACTATTTCCGTTCTACGAAGATTTAAGCTCTAAGGAAATTAGGTGGATCTGAACAGATCGACGCGTTCCCCTGACAAATCTCGAATAATCTCTAGATGAAGAGAGATGAGACAGACTCGCGCAGTCACGTCCGCTGATCGTTAGCGAAACATTTCCACGTCACTTCAATCTGCACATGCCTATAGGGATGCATTTAAAATAGAATTACGTAAAAAAAAAAGATATTACACACATATGCTTTTCAGGTAAAATCGAACGCAAGCGGAATCTGATTGATCGTTGTCGTAAGTTCAGTTTGGTTGTTTTTGAAAATATCAATTTGCATAATGAACACGTTAATTATCGATGCCATTTGCATTTCGTTGGCGGGAAGAAATACACTGGATAAACTGTACAGCGTCATCGGACGTTTGCGTCATCTATCACTGTCCGTTTTTGTTATCGTCGAATGTTATTTCACCCTATGTTGCAACAGTAGTCAATCTTTGTAAACGATCGGACTTGTCTAGCAATCCGACCGCTGACGAAGGCACGATTTCCTGCTCTATGGGATGTAAGAGTCCCCGAAACTAATGTACATCATGGTAATCTACTTGCTGTAGATATGTAGCACGTGCAACAAAACACAAACTTGCTATTTGCGGAATGTTCTATTTGGCCAGACAGACAAAATTTTCTCGACAAAAAAAAAGTTTATCGTTCGTTAGATTTAACATATAAAATTGTATAAGAATTTCACGAGGAAAAAGAAAAACTATGTATCATTAATACCCGTGTGAAGTTAGACCCCCCAATATTTGAAAAAATTAATTTTTGTCGTTTAAAATTGTCGTTTAAAATTGCAAAATTACGCTAATTAGCTATGCAAAATATATCTTCGATTTATACGCTACTATTTCCAAGCAATTTCGATTTTTGATCTGCAACCATTAAGGGATTTCCCACGTCTGCCTATATAGCCAGCCCCTCCACTTAATCAAATCTTAATGAATATGTTATATAATAATGCGCTATTTATGCGCCCTCGAAATCCGCAAAAAAAAATTTTTGCGTTCATTTCGATTAGCTAAAAAAAATTTTTTTGTGGAGGGGAAGGCTGTTAGTCACGTGTTAAGAACAACCGATTTGGAAAATCAAATACACAGGATTTATCCGTTATTTGTGCGCTTTCATATTCACACATTTTCAATTTTTGCGCTACATTCCTTAAGGCAGTTTCTTGGAGCAAACAGTCATATTCAGTCATATTCCATAGATCGTTTAAAATTGCAAAATTACGCTATCTAATAATTTTTTAACTAAAGGTGTGCAAACGGAAAATCAAATTTTTTCGAAATGTGCAAACGAAAATCTATTGATTATGACTTTTTCGATTCAATTTGCTCGAAGTTGGTGGGCTAGTGTGAAGTCAGCCTCTCCCAAAATTGTTTTTTTTAATAACTTTCTTACTAAAAATGCAAATGAAAATTCGAAGTGTGTATAAATGTGCAAACAATAAGCAAACGAATGAGCTATGAAAAATTAATTTTCTCAAAAGTTGGGGGGCCAACTTTACATGGATATCATTAATCTATTTTTATGTAGATCTTTTTGTTCTTTGTTATATCTTAAAATAATACTGTTTTATGTAACAATTCTTTATATATTCTTATATATTAAAAATTAATAATATTTTAGCTTTAGTAAATTAATAGCAAACGTTATTAGAATTTACTAATAAGCAGTGATACGAACGTATCATAACTTTACATTTGTCCTTGTTTACTGAAATATATCGGAGACACAAGTGAGTCTTTCAAGTGCAATTAACGCATAACATTAATTACTGTCGGCAAATTATTGCAACTGCTTTACTAATATGAAGTGAACTTTCGTTCATGCATACAACCATAAATGTGTTCACGAGGTTTTCATATATGATTGATGATCCATGCGTATTCTTCTTCAAACTTCAAACATTAGGTTGCTCTTTCTACATCCCATCATATCTCTCGCGTTTCCTCCACGCTGCGAAAGGTCAAAGCAGATCCCGCGTTACATTGCATTGTGTCTGTCTTCCATCGATCTTCGTTCAGGCAATGGCTCATGGATAATGGCTCGTGGTCCCTTCAAATCTTTCTTCAAAAATGAAAATGTCTAAACGTATATATTTTTTTTTCAAGATTTTAGAATAGTCGACTTAACTAATTCAAGTGAGTAAATCCAGCATCTTTCATAATCCGTTATGAATAAAAAATAAAAAGGAGACTTTAAATAGGTAATCTGTTAAGATATTTAGTTCTGGCTTGAAGTCCCTTTTATCTCAGAATCTATTATGCGTACCACTCTCTGGCAATAAATCTAATTTAAAAATAAGACATAGACTTACAATAATTATAATTCCGAAGATTAAATTCAGTATAAATAATTTCAAATTACTTCTCTATTATGTTTGAAGTAATTCATTATGATCTTTCTGAGAATTGGAATATTGGCGGAAGAAGGAAACATTTGCTTTGTCGAAGTGGATAGATAATTGTTTATAATTCCAGAAAATAGATTTTCCGGGAATATTGAACTCCTGTTGAATTCCACTCTTAAGCATATATCGCGCAATATCTTTGACCTATTAAGGATCAAGACAAATTTTTTTTCTCAAAAATAATTTAAAATCCTTTTAATGGCAAGCTACTATGCCCTTAAGGAGTCTACTTGCTTCTTCACCCTTGAGTTGGTTGTTTAGACAAGAGGGGGAAGGGGGGGGGAGTCGATTTTGCATTGGTCCAAATTTGGTCCCAAAGTTGACCTATTTTTTTGATCGAAAAATTGAGCGGTCCTTAATGAGTTAATTCCTGTATATATATATATTAATTTTATATTATATATTAATTTTATATTATATATTAATTTTATATTATAAATTTATTTGTTTAAATTGCGTGAATCTAATTTTAAATATATTTATACTAAAATAAAGAAAAATTTTTTTGAAAGGTTTACTTAAATTAAATTTAGGCTTAGTA